CTTCCCATCAGACCCACAGGGAGGGGCGGTGTGTAGCAGGAATCTTAGAGTCTTATTAATAAAATCAAACCTGAGGCCAGGTATTGGGGTGAACACTGGAAGATCAGAGAGACAGAACAAGCCACAGCTAACTAACCTCACCGGATCCTCAGCTGCTCTTGTTTCCTCAGACTGGAAGCCTCTGTGTCCTCATATCCAAATGGCTCTCAGCTGAACTGTGCTGCTAGAAGTCTGAAAGCTTAACCAGCCAAATGCTTAACCAGCCAAATGCTTCTAGTTCCTGGTCCTCACGCCTTATATGTCTTTCTGCTTTCTACCATCACTCCCTGGGATTAAAGGCTCGCTTTCTGGGATAAAAGGCGTGAGTCACCATGCTTGGCTGTATCCTTGAACACATGGATTTCTGCCTCTGGAATGCTAGGATTAAAGGCGTGTGCTACCACTGCCTATCCTCTATGTTTAATATTGTGGCTGTTCTGTCTCTGACCCCAGGTAAGTTTATTAGGGTGCACAATAGATCGGGGAACACAATACCACCTCAGCTTTGTGCTGAAGACAAGCTATAAAAGGCACAATATGAACTTAATCATGTCTCATGCCCATCATGACTACCTTTCTGTCCCAGATCTGCCAGCTCTCACCAGCAATCCAATATCCATGAAGCAGAGGAAGTGCTGGCTCTGAATGAATGCTGAAAGCCATTTCCTCCGGTTACCTGTAGAAACTCCAAGACCGGTCCTCATCTTGCCTATATTCTCTGAGATACTTCTCACCTGCATTTATTGTCATATCAGTTGTGTCCCCAGAATGACCTAAGGTCTGGTCCATAGCAGGTTCTGAATTCTAAAAACAGTCAAAAGAAACGCTGGGGACAGGCATGATGGTGTATATATCTCTGATCCCAGCATTCAGAATACAGAAGGATCTTGAGTTCCAGACCAGTATGGGCTACATAGCAAGACCATGTCTCAAAAACTGAAGAGAAAAAAAAAAAAGAATGAAGGAAGGAAGGAAAGCCAGAATGTCTGCAACACAACTCAGAAGCACATCTGTCAAAACACAAAAAGCTCAATGTGTGCTGAGCTGAAAAACATACTGACGTGTCCCAGCTTGCTACTCTGATAACTAGGTTAGTAATTTTTTTAATCCAAATTGTTTTTAAAAGACTTAGTTGCTTGGTGGTGGTGGCACATAAATTTAATCCCAGTGCTACATAGAGAGACCTTGTTTTTAAAAAATAAATGAATAAAAATAAAATAGTAACTTAAAAATATAAATCAAAGATAAATATCACTGATGAAACTCTGAAATTCAATTAGTCAACATAAAATCTTATAGAAGTCATACTTAGGTCAAATCTGACTTATTTTGCTTTCCTTTCAGTCAGTTCATAGAATAACCTGTCAGAAAGTGTTTTCTCTTTCCTACCTACAAGCAATACCATTAGGCACACACTAGTAAACCAAAGCACAGCCTGAGGGAAATAAAAAGGTGGCTAAGCAATTACAGCAGAAAAGCCAAGCTTGATGGTGTACACCTTTGATCTAGAATACACATGATGTAGGAGGCAAAAGGATCAGGAGTTTAAGAGCATCCACAGCTACATAGTGGGTTTGAGACCAGCCTGGACCACGTGTAACCCTGTCTCAAAACAAAACAAAAAGGCTAAATAGAAAAGATTGGGTGTGGTGGTACACAGCTGTAATTCTAGCACTTAAAAACTAAGAGAAGCCGGGCGGTGGTGGCACACGCCTTTAATCCCAGTACTCGGGAGGCAGAGGCAGGTGGATCTCTGTGAGTTCGAGGCCAGCCTGGGCTACCGAGTGAGTTCCAGGAAAGGCGCAAAGCTACACAGAGAAACCCGGGGGGGGGGGGGGGGGGGGGGGGAGGGGGGGGGCGGGGACACTAAGAGAAAGTTGCCTCAAATTTGAGACCAACCTAAGCTACATACAAAGTTTGAAGCCAGCCTGGGCTAAAGAGTAAAATCCTACCTCAAAAAAAAAAAAAAAAAAAAAAAAAGAGGAGAAAAGAAAAGAGCTAATCCTCTACCAACTCCATATTCTCAGAGCCCAGCTCTCACGACAAGTTCAAGACCAGAACTGGTCAGGCCGAAGACAGAGCAGCAACAAGACACGAAAACCATGACTGGAACAAGTTGGCAGTGTTTCAAAGACTTGTCTTTTGGTCTTAATAGAACATTTCCCTTATCTGTTTATTCTTAGGGGTTAGGCGACTCAGCAAACTCTAGGAACAAATATTTCTATCCACTCCCAGTCAGGGGACAGAGTCAAAGGAAATTTCTAAATTCTTTGTTTTTTTGTTTGTTTGTTTGTTTTTGAAGACAGGGTTTCTTTGTGTACCCCTGGCTGTCCTGGAACTCACTCTGTACACCAGGCTGGCATCAAACTTAGAGATCTACCTACCTCTGCCTCCCAAGTGCTGGGATTAAAGGCCTGCACCACCACTGCCCCAGCTTCAAAGGGAAATTCTTAACAATACACCCATCACTCCAGAGAATTTAAATAAGAATGTCTTTAGAGCAGAATAAAAAGCTTACTTTAAAAAAAAAATGAGAAGAAAAAAAAAACACAAAACATGAAGCTCCTGAAACAGTCTGTAAAGGCAGGTGCGAGGACCCTGTGTGTAAATTACATGGAGACGGTTGTTTCTAGAATTTTCTTCTCACAGCTAAGAGGGTGTCTAAGCACAGAAAGTGGCTACACCATGAGGAATTAGCTCAAGTGTTTTTCTGCTCTATGCACGAAATGGGCCTCTTCAGTTCTCAGAGGCTGGTCTAAGACCTCATGGAGTACAGTACAGCAGCTGATCATTGCCCCAGAAACCAGACCACAGGGACAGAGTGGCCCAATTTTCCTTAATTTGAAAACTCCCATGCAAGGAGAAAGTTGGGAAGTTCACGTTAAAATATATTTAATTTAGTAGTATTTGTAAATAAGACATCTTCAGCAGTAACAGACTTCTCATGCTTTCAGGCATTTTCTATGAATCTTTGAAGCATTCTCTCCATTTCTTGATATGTATTTCTCGTTTCTGTTACTGAGTGACCAAGGAGCATCAGAAGTTATACAGAAGTGGACAGAACTGGCCTGATCCTGGCATAGCTGATGCAGGGTATTGAGTGTCACCAGTGGCCCTGGTAACAGCTGACAAGTAAGAAAGAGATGAGACTGGGGTCTGGACACAGGACAACTTTACATTTACATAAAGCAATGGAACATGAATAGAATTATCTAAGCAAAGCAAAATTTTTACATTCAAGGTAGTGTCAGTGAGAAGCTTAAATGTCCTCGTGAGACTGGATTTTGGATTTCTAGAAACCCAAAGTGAGTTCTTTCTACTATTCTAAAGAGAAAACTGGCAATAACCCCCAACGTGGTTTCCCCTTCAGAAAAAAAAATAAGAGAACAACTACAAGGTTTTCAAAGATAATGCTAAACTTCTATCTGCAATAACTTCTTCGTAAGAACCACTATCACTTGCTTAATTTTTTCTGCAATAATATGGGAGATGTATTCTAAACACTTCAGTTCAAAGTACCTAATATCACAAAATATACCAAAACGGAGGAATCCTACTATAATAAACTTTGTTTCATTCTTCTCATGGAAACCCTTCCATAAATTTCCTTTTGGTGAGCAAACTACTCTCTTGCCGAGTGGAAACACTGCCTTGCACAGGCAAGACAAGGATCAGCAAGAGCGGAATTCGCGAATCTGCACCCAAATGGGAAGTTAGCCTAGAGGATGGATCCAATCCAACGTTCTACAAGCAAGACAATGCACCCACAGGAGTGCTCCGTGCACAGGTGTCAGTGCGGAGACAGTTCACTAAACCCATTTTCTAATTAGCATTTCTTTAAACGTGCTGATAACAATCTTGCCACTGTAACCTCTAAATACACGCTGAGATTGTAGCCTTGAGAGCCGGAGGAAATTCATTGAGAATTTCAGTCAAACTTTCTTCTGTTTATATTTCTTTGGATTAGAAATTATCTGTCCTTAGCTTGTTCCCGGGCTCCCGGATTCAGTTCTATTGTGTATGGCTGGTTCCGCCTACTAATAGTGAAATCGCTAGCCATACCAGGGAATCCCCCAACTAGCCAGAACCCTCTCCATGGTGCAGAAAATTCCGGTTTTACCCTCGAGATTGAGTTGTCTGACACTGACTTTCGCTAACCTGTGAAACTGACAGGTCTATTTACTGGGAAACAAAGACGCGACTCATAGCGGACCGGGTTCCCCTGCGCGCCCCGTGCGCTCTGAGCGCCGCGTCTCTTCTGCGCTCCCTTCTCCACCGCACCAGGAGGGCCCTGCACCCTAGTTCGGCCCATGATTAAAATGGAAATCTAAAACGACCGGCGTCCGGCTTCTAGGGAGACAATGACCCCCAAGACCCCCAGGGCCCACGTCCCGCAGTTCTGACTCTTGGCAAACTCGGCGCGGGCGGGTCCGGGTGCGGCTCCGCTGCGCGGGCGGGGGACGCACGGGGCGGCGCGGGCGGGGGGCGCAGGGACGCCCCCGGGCTGCCTCCTGGGGCCAGGCGTTGACGCAGCAGAAATTACCAGCTGGAAAATTCCCCTTTCGGAGGTGATGAATAAGGACCCCGGCGGTCGTGGTGGCTGCCGGAGGTGCCAGGGGGCCAAGGGGTCGGGCAGCTCCGCACCGCGGCCGCCTCTGCGATCAGACCCGCGGGGATCTGCCGCGCCGCCCCGCCCACGCCCCTGGGGCCGTGGCCCCAGGGGCCTGGGTCTCCGTCCGCGTTGTCCCCGGGCGCCATCGCCCCCAGGAGGGCGCCCCCGCGAGGCGGGACGGGGCGGGGCGGGTGGCAGGGCGGGGGCGCGCCCTGGCTCACAGCAGCCAGGGCTGCAGCTGCCCGGCCCCCGCCCTGGCCCAGGCTCCGGCTCCGGCCAGGGCTTCGGCCCCGGCCCCGGCGTGGTGTGCCAGCCCGGCCGCGCGGACAATGAAGCTGGCGCAGCTTACCTGTGACCCCATGGGGCGCCGGCGCGGGCGGGCGCCGTGGCCGCGGACCGGTGATCGCGCGGCCACCAGCGAGCGCTACGTCCGGGAGGGTCCGAGCTGCGCGCTCGCCCGGGTGGCTCGGTCCGCCCGTCCGTTCGTCCGTCCGTCAGGCCGGCGCGCGCCCCCGAGCTGCTCCAGCCCCGCGGCCCCCGCGCGCCCCGCCCGCGGACCCTGACCCCGCCCCCGGCGCGCGCCCGGACGCCGCTGATTGGCCTACGCTGCGCCCTGGCCTCGGCCACCGCCCCAGCCCCGCCCCCGCCCCCGCCTGCCGGCCCCGCCCCCCGCTCCGGCGGCAGGGCGCAGCGGACTGGCCGGGGCCGAGTAGCCGCCGGTGCTCCGGCGGCCCACCGCCCCCCCGCGGGGCCGGACAGCGGAAGTGCGGGCTGGAGCTCGCTGGGCATTGTGGGAAGCCCCCTCCCATGGGCTTGCGAGTGGCAAGGAATGGGGTCCGTGGGTCCGACGCTCCCGCCCTGCGGGATCGCGCAGACGGAGACCACCTGATGGGAGAGGTGGGCTGGACAAGGGCACCGCAGCAGGGTCGAGTTGGCGCACCCCTCGTCGTCTGAGCGCCTGTCCCTGGGGACGCACGAGACCCAGGGTCATGGCTGTCTCCGAATCCCGAGGAGCCGTCGCCGTACGCGCGTCTCCCAAACTTAGCGACTTCCAGGCGCGCCATGGCGGTTCCGCGGGGCTCATGCTGAGCGGAGAAAACGCGCTCTAGGGGCGCGGTGCCCTGAAGGAGCTGGTCACTGTGCACCCCCGCCATCCGGGGACCTGAGCGCTCTCCCAGAGAAGCGCGTGTTGAGAAGCGGGCCACGTGGCAGTGCCTGCAAACGGTACTTATATTTGGCCAACTAGGAGCATTGATTGCCGCACGTCGGTCTTGTCATCCAGCTGCTGGTGAGGGCCTGGGGCTCAGACAAGTGGCGAGAACCCTGTCCTGGTCAGCAGCTCCCAGCCAGTGATCGCATCTCGATTCCGGTATAGCTAGGGATGGGTCTCTACACCCCGCCCCCAGTGGTGCGGTGCCGCGCGTCTCTTCTTGCCTCCTGTGTCCTCGAGCCTTTGGGGAGCTGGAACGGGTAGCGTACATTCCTGGCTGGCCTGCGCTGCGCCGGGGTTAAAGGCCACCACGCTCCCTCCTGGGCACAGCGGAGGGGAGGAGGTGAGCCTGTGGCTGGCCAGGGGCGTAGAGGAGTTGAGCCCTGCTGGGCCAACCAATCGCAAGGCGCCCTAGGCTGTCTGCGCCCTGCCTCCTCGAGGGGCCAGCGCCGCGAAATTCCTCTGGAGGTGGGAGGCGCCCGCCCTGATGGAGGATTTCTCATGTTGTGTGAGGAGGCATTCATGGGCGGCAGTGGGAGGGCTGGCAGGAGAAGATTCTCCTTGAGCGAGCAAGGGCGAGCAGAGGTCTGGCAGTCAGATGAAAGCCAGGGATATTCCCTCCAGGAGATGGCTGTGCACATGCCCTGCCCACCCCTCGCCAGGCATCTAGGCTGGCACTCATGGCCCAGGTGTCCCTAGTCTCATTCTTTCTGCTGGAGGACTCTCTTGGCACAACTGGTCTGAAGCAAGCCCCACCACCACCACCACCACACACACCCCACTCCTGCCCGCCTCAGTGTGCCTATCCTTGGAGAAGTAGGACTAGCACAGTTCTGACATACTGCTCCTGACCTCCGGGAGGATCCGAGGGTCAATCTGGGTACACCTCCCTCTGAGGGGACAAAGAACATTGTCTGTAGATAGTCCTTCAGACTATCCCCTTTCTCAGTTTGGTCTCTGTTTGCTGCTCATGAAGAAAGTGAAGCATGAGGAGACCTCTAAGTTCACTTTCCCTCAGAGAGAGCCCCAGTTTCTCTCAAGGTAACTAGGCACCCAAGACACATTCAAGAAGGATCATGTTGATGTTATGCTGTCTGTTTTCCATGAAGAACTTGGGAGCAATAGAAGAACCTTGCCCATAAACACAATGGAGCTCAGTCATTGCTCAGGAAGCCTATAACAACCACGCCTGTGTCTAACACTAACAGGCCCACTCCATATGCCAGAAGGGCTACTCATCTTCATAGGAACTCTTGTTGAGTTCTGAAATGAGTCAGGACAGAGCAGATACCCCCTTTCCACACATGCACACTCTTGCACCTCCACCCCAGCAGCACTACCAGTGAGTGGACCAAGACCCCTGTATTTTCTGCTCCAAAAGCCAGTACCAGGGTACAAGGCCTGGACATAAAGACAATACAGTAGCTTGTAGACAGATTGAAAACAACCCCCTGAGATAAGACAGACCCACCTTATCTCCTCACTATCACTGTTCTGCAAGCTAATAAACCCCATAATTGTTTAAAAACCCAAACAGCAGCAACTGCAACCTCTTGGCAGATGTGAGGGTAAGGGAAGTCATAGCTGAGTTGGCCCAGGTATCTAAATGTGTCTGCTTTGATGTGTTACCAGAATGGCTCAGGAACTCACAGTTTCTCGCACCAGGTGACCTACCTGCCTTAGAGATGACTCTCAAGGATGGACAGATAGGTTGGCCTCAGTTACACTCTGATCATGGCATTCAGCATCCATAGCAGGGGTCTGGGAAGGTTCCATGAAGATGGGCATGATCCTGGCTATCAACAGTGAGCAGTAGAAAATGTGAACAGACAGACAGATGGTCAGGGTCCTGCAGCCACATGGGTCCATGCTATCTGTTGAGACCATTGTATAGTTACCCCCAGGAGCTGGAGAGATGGCTCGGTGTTTAATAATATTGTTTGCTTAATGCTCTTGCATAGAACCCAAGTTTGGTTCTCACTCAGCATCTACATTGGAGTAGCTCATAACTGCCTATAACATCAGCTCCAGGAGATCTAACACCCTCTTCTGGCCTTGATAGGCAGCCAGCTGCACATGTATACACACACACACACACACACACACACACACAAATACAAATTTAAAAACAAGTTGAGCCAGGTGTGGTGGCATACACCTTTAATTCCAGTACTTGAGATGCAGAAGCAGATGAATCTTTCTGAGTTTAAGGGCAACCTGGTCTACAAAGTGAGATCCAGGCCATTCTTTAAAACCCTATCTTAAAAAACAATAACAACAACCAAAAACTCACCCCAAGCTACCTGTATGGGCATGTCAGGAGACCATCAAGGAACATACCAAATCCATGAAGGGAATTAGCATCAGGCCACACATTCTGGGGGCCAAAGAAAGGGTGCAGAAGCTGATCAGGCCATGAGTGTGCTTTCTGATAGAAGGCCCTCAGAATGGGCCCCTTCTATCCCAAGTACCTGGAACACCACCATGATAGCCATTAAGAGTGCCATGTGGCTGGCCAAGCCCAGCATCCTCTGTAAACCCTAGAGACCCCTATGTGCTTTATTGGTAACCTGCCCTCCACCAACACACCGTGTGGCTTTCAAGGGGCAGAGGAGCAAGAAGGGGCCCAATCTCAGGCAAAGAACTGTGAAACAATAGAGAGATCAGGGACTTACTTGCATTTAGCCTCAGGGCCTGCTTTGTAAGCAATAGCCTGGGAGGAGCTTTGGAAAAGAAAATTCCAGAAGAACAGCAAATATCCCTCCATATCTAGTAGAGGTACCACCCCACCAACCCTGTCATTGCTAGGCATCTTCCCCACAAGGCGGCATTTCCTCATCTACCCCCAGCTGGCTTTTCTGTAGCTGTCTTTGTCTCAGTCACTGGTCAGAGAGACTGCCTGTTTATCCTCCAGCCAGTGGTGTTGCTCAGTCGTCCCCATGGCAACAGACCTGAGAGTCCTGCCCACTTCCAGAAACCTGTCCCTGCCCTCTCCAGCACTCTGCTGGAAGTCCCTATCTAGAGAGGCCAAGAGCAGGGAGGGAAGAAAGACTACTGCTGTGGACTGGGGATACTGGGACCCGCCCACCACACATTATCCTGGCCCCTGTAGTGGAACTGAATCCTGCCTCAGTCTGCAGCAAAGACCAATCCATGGCTATGGGAGGGGCTCCTCACCCAGGCTTCTGTAATATGGGCTTCCTGGGCATAGTTTGGCCAGGTCTAGAGCCATCTGGACTTGCCCTCCTGTCCAGGCCTCTGCAAGACTGTCCTCCAGAGCTGCTCCAGGCCAAGGGCTACCTGCCAATCCCATGGCTGCCCCACCCCAACTGTCCTCCAGGCTTGTGCCCCTGCCAAGCCCCAACTGCCACTCCAGCTGCTATTGCCAACTGTCGCCCCATCTCCATTCCAAGTGCTCCCTCACCCCAACTGTCCTTCCAAAGTACCATAGCCAACTGGCAGCTCCTTGCTCCCTAAGCCTTGCCTCCCACCTACCAGCTATGGGGCCAGGGCTTAGCATTCCAGAGTTCCTGCATTTCCAGCAATGTTGAAAGGAGCAAAGCCACACCTGCTATGTTCCTGGCTAACCCTGGACTGGGGGAAGGAGAGATACTGAGGCTCAAGACCAAGAGAATAGGTTGGGGGCCAGGCCTCAGCAGACCAAGGGGAAGAGATGGGGAAAGAACAGAGCAAAAGCAGAGGATATATCAGCCAGACCCCTATGCTAGACCTAGCACAGGGGCAGGAAGCAGCCACGGTGCCCAGTCGGAACCAAGTATGCACTTTGGGTAGAGGCAGACCTTACTTGGCTGTGGGGTACAACTGGATCCTGACATAGTGCTTTCCTCTGAGAGTTTCTAAGCAGCTTATCCCAACCACAGGCCCTGGGAAGGCCCCAGCATAGGTCAGGGACAGTCCTGCTCCCACCATACCCTCAGGTACCCACCAGCCTTCCACACTCTAAAGGCTGGACCCTATTCCTGGGTCTCAGCTGGTGTCCTGAGCCCACTTGGGTTGTCTCTTAAGAGTAGATTTTCCACACAAGTTCTAGCCCATTTCTCCAGGTCCCAGCTATGGTCTTCTTTCCCCTTCTGCATCCTCCAAGTCCTTTCTCCACCTTTATTCAGTAGTCCCTGTGACAGGTCACTTCTATAAAGGGATACTTGCCTTATCCAAACACACTCAGAAGCCCTGGTAGTCAGTCAGTCTTTCCCTGAACCTACTTGACAGGTTGCAGTCCCGGCTATTCCAGAACACACAGAAGTACCTGGAGTCTTCACCAGGCCTTGGGGGAGAAACTGTTGCCCTCACTGGTATAAGT